GAGTATTGAAAAAAATAAACATGTTTCGGTGACAGCTGTCAAAACAATAATATGATACTGGTACTTCTGTGGGTCTTCGTTGATAAGTTGCTCTATTTCAAGTTTGTAATTTTTATAAGCCAAACGTGCGCTAGTTAATATCGCTTATACAATATTTATTAAAAAAAAAAAAAATTACATATGATGAATGTATGGAATGGTAGTGGAGGTAATGGTGATGGTGAAATAAATTCAACTTTTAATTTCCAGCCGGTGGATAACGTTCAATCGAATCGCGTGCAATCCGTCTTTCAGTCTTGCAGTTTAACCGAATATGTTCTGCTATTTTGCAAAAACGATCACAATCTTGGTGGGATTTAGAAATTTAATATGCATTATTTTTTATGTTTTTGAATGTTGATTAATATCTAATATGATTTAAATTATTCATACCAGCCGCTTGGTTTGATGCGGTTGCCAAAATACCGTGATGCTTCATAAGCTGTCGTCTTAACATTGTGTACCATCCTTTCGAAACTGAAAATACATAGGAGGATAAACATTTATTATTATTCTAAACAATATTATTATTCTTACCAATTTTCAACTCATTCTGCTCATCAGTATCGGGCTGTATAGCAAACATATTGATGAATTCGATTTGTTGTGAGATGGATTCTTTCATGTTTGCCAAAAAGACTGTGCTCAAAGTAATTAAATCATTTTGGGGGTCTTCCATGTTTCGCAAACATGTTTCGCGCAAATTGTTATTTATATATATTCTTGACTCATAATAAGCCTGTGAGCCTGAAAGAAGAATTATCGATATTATTTTCTCAACGAAGTTGGTTTCTGATTAATTTTTCGTTCAAATGAAAATACGAATGAAGTTCAATATTCCAGATCAATTCAGTTGAATTGTTTGATTGAAATTTTTTGCTATTTCCAAATCAAACTAATCAATTGATTTGAAATTTCACAAACCTTATTGATAGAAATACATATACAAATATGGAAATATTTACCCGAATCCACTCCACTTTTTTCCCTTTTAATACACATTTCTGACAACATTCTTTCTATTCGAATTAATAAATTGATAACAGGTCAGAAATGGTAAAACATTAAAGTATACAGCATGCAATGTTTCAGACGTAAACAAAGAGACAAAACAAATCAAAATTAATAATAATCGATTTTATACCAATTACAGTATCGCCTGATAAAAATCCAAAAGAGCTCATTCTGAAAAATAATATTAATGGATAAAATTTTACACGATTTCTACGCAGATTTTCACTGTTTCTAACACAATTTTATTCAAATTGACAAGCTTTAACACAGAAATAAAATTGTTGTCGTGTATGTCAAGCGATCTATTGGCAGGTGTTGCCGCAAGTCACACATTTAAATGCAATGGAAAAAGTCCAATATTTTAGTCAGAGATGGCGTTAGTCATTGAGAAAAACTCAAAATGTTGAAACTGAATAATTATTCATAATGTAAATTCAAATTATTCAATTTAATATCATGTTGAAGATTTCTGTGTTTTTCAATTATTTCCACATTTAAAATCAAGCATATACTTGAAGAAAACTGTTTCAAGTAAATACATGAACAAACAAATAGAAAATAAAAAAGGTAGAAAAACGTCCAAAAGGAGAAGAATTAACACACGAACAACACTTATGATATTTTTCTTATTCATTATTATTATTATTATTTTTTGTAGTCTTTCTATTTTAGTAATTTTTGTAAATTCATTTCTAAAAGAGAGTTAAGACATCCAACATATTCAAAATTATAGATAATTCGATTGAACCGGGGACGTTTTAAGTGTGGAGAGAGTTAATATCGCTAACGATAACGATATTATAAAAATTAATTTTCAGTCATTTTGTATGATGCACAATATTGTGAATAAATAGCATATTGCACAATGTAGGTAATAGAATGACGAAATTAGGTAAAGTAGCAAATTAGTGAAACGTTGATAATTGAAAATTGTAATTAAATTTTAGAAATCGATTTGGTTGACTTTCAAATAATAATTGGAACGGAACAATTGTAAATAAATTAATCTGCTACGGAAAATTCAAGATCAAAAAATGTATAAATAACCTGTACAGCTTTGATAAAGACAGTTCAGTTGTATATTTTCAAGTTTAATAAAGCACATAGTGCACCGAAAACGTAACATCTAACTCAAAATACTATACAGAAATAAAACGTTTCTTAACTTGGTTAAGATGAATAAAAATCCCTATTGATAAAATCAATTTTAAAAAAATTGGGGACAATTTTCTTTTTAATTTAGTAGTTTTTAGAACATAAGATTTTATATCACAAATAATAATGAATATTTAACCTTGTTGAATGTCAAGAATCGGGGACGATTCATTTTAGAGGGGGAAGAGTTAATATCGCTTATCTTCGATATTATATTTTTTTCTATTTCTAGCACATTGCACAATGCACAAGTAAATTATTTGATATACTGTTGATTTGTTAATTGAATTTACTAAATATAAAAATTCAATTCCAAATTCAATATAATTCATAATATTGTTAATTAAGTTAATTTGTGGTATATTAATATTGCAAATTTGAATTGTTTATATTTAATTTGATATTGAAATTTCTATTCCAACAATATCGAATCTGATAATGAACAATTTTCATTACCACAAATTGGCAACGGCCACGTACATATAATTATTTAGTTCTCAAATATATAAATAACGATAAGACCACTGTAACAGTACTCTTTCATTATCAATAAATGCACATAGTGCACCAAGATTCGAAAGTTTCAAAGTTTTTTAATTTAAATGACTTTTCAGTCATTAACTCGCTCTTTTTGTACTCTTTTCTTAGTTCAGCGTGTTCTTTCTTTGCATGCTTCCTAGCTTCAACAGTATGCCTGGATCTCATGAATTTGTACTTTGGAGATCATGACTAAACCATTTCGGGTGACTCGAAATCTTCCTCGTTTTCACGTCAACACTCGATGATATCACTGAATCCATCAGTTCATAAAAATTGGTGATTTTAGAGTTTAAGTCGTCGCCAGAAAAAACGTGCATCCAGTCGACGTTATCAAGAATCTCATTTATATTATTGTAGTTGGCATTTGCAAAATCACGATAACTAAAATCAATAGTTGACTTGCCATTGTTAAATTCAACATCGCTAATGGTAATTCGCTAATGGCTTGTAGAATACTTCAAAAGAAATCAGCTAAAGTTGAATGTATCCAAGACCAAATTTGCGTCTTTTCATCGCGGGATCTTAAAATTTAACTTCGAATATTCCATTGGCAACGAAAAAATCGATCGGGTCCACGTGATAAAGGATCTAGGAGTAATACTTG